GTGGTAGTAGCTGAGCATCACCTCCAACACATAGTCCGAGCACCATGTAATGACACAGTTCCACATTTGCATTTTATTTTATTTTTTTAATTCTTGAATAAATTTATAACCTTTAGATGCAGACTTTTATTTTGAAAGCGGGGTTTACAACSATTACCGTAACATCCGGTCAATGCGCAAAACAAAAAACAAAACGTGAGATGTGATAAAAACCTGTTGCGCTTCTCGCTCATCACTTGCCAACTTCCTGATAGCCGTTTTTTTTTTTTTACGGTAACTTCAGTAAGTTTCGACATAGCGAAGAGGACAAGTTGCTAATAATAACACCGCACCACAACTGAAGGTAAGTACTTTACTCCTGATACACTTAGACTGAGTCGAATTGTTTTTGTGTTTAACGACTTGCTGGGTGTGGTAGGTAGAGACACTTTTTGATGTTTTGTTTCCGTAAGTTAAGTTTTCAACGCTGACGCATGGACATCAAGTTGCTCTAATGTAAAGTTCACATTACCGTGTACTCATAACAACCTGTGCAATATACGAAATAACTAGCATAGCGGGGTGATCATGGGCTTTGTCCTTGAAAAAGTTAACAGAATTACCACTAGAGTAGCATTAAACTAGTTTTGTGGTAATTCTGTTAACTTTTTCAAGGACTAATTCTCTACCAGAAAACTAATAAGATTAGAAGCAGGAACATCGCTAAGATTACTCGTTTGTTCACATTCCGTCAGGCATTAAAATGCAAATCGTCWTTTATGACACGGAAATAGAAGAAGATAAAAAAAAACTTAGAAAATATGTATTAAAAAGCAACCTTCAGATTATTTACAGTATTTATTTTTTAAGACTTTCATATCCTTTTCCTGTTTAAGTTTGATAATTTTGCGCCACCTGGTGGTTGGGGTGTGAATCTACAGATAATGTGCGGTTTAAAAAACAAACATTTTATTCTGAATTATAGCATTTATGAATTTTTTTTTCCAGTGATAGAAAGGATGTAGATTTAGAAACGGGTCAAGCAATTATTAAACTACAGAAAATGGGAATTTTTTTTGCGTAAAGAAACTAATTAACAGAGCCTGATGAAACTCAAATCARTTTAGCATTACTTGTTTGGAGAGAGATTTTATTTTTATTTATTGATTTGTTKTTACAGACGGACCAAGGAGTCATTTGATTTATTTGTGATAAAGTTATATTCAAATTTAGTTTACTGTCTTTAGTTTGAACAGTTTCCTTCTTGTTGTCATTATTATATTGTTCCCTTCTGATGTTATTATCATTAGTTTAGTCTCTTCTTTTTATCTAATCAACATTGATTGTCCTTTCGGTGATGATTCGTTTATTTTTTTTTAAATATGGTTATCTCTCGGCATTCAAAAATGGACGACAAAGTAAGAATTTCATTGCTCAGGGAAACAAGTTTTTCATCTGTGCAACAAACACTTTGAATCTTRCATCTCATATTTTTGTGTCATTGTCAAAAATATAATTTTCTGTATAAAAAATTGTTGAAGCTAAGTTTGCTCTAGGAAGTTGACTCTTAACATGATAAATATTTGAATCTGGCTGACTGCATTACTAAACCACAATCATTTTACTTAAAGAAAACGTAATTATCAGTTCATCCCTGATTTCTTTATACAGGTGGTTTTTTTTGTTTTGTCTTCAGCGACAGGATGCAGCCAGGTGAGGAGATAAAAGCCATATTTCAATATCTACATTTGCTTACTTTCCCCCCGTAAACAAACATTTATTGAATGTATTTTTTAATACAATGCTTTCAGGCAGAAGCCAGCTGTCYGTCTCTCTGAAGCCTTATCTGAACAACAAAAACAGATTACAGCCCATCATTGGTTTGTTGCAGTAAATCCTCAATTTATGTTAAAGTAGCCTGTGATAASTTTTTAGTAAAACATTTTTCTTCTTGTTTCGTGTACATTTAGGCCTGGGTAGCATCACTGAGTGTGTGAACGTGGGTTCAGAGGACAGAGAAACGTTGTACTTGTGTGAAGTGTGTGTGTGTCGACTCACTAAAGCTGATATCCGGAACCACATACTGGGAAGCCACCACAGATTCAACTACATTGTAAGCAGCCCTGAAGAGAAGACATTATTGGAAACATCTTGGCTTGTGGTTTAACCAGTAATGCTTGTTTTGTCAGAAATCCTATCATCCCCTCTCAGTGTGTAAATGGCAGGAGAGCTACGACCTGTCAAAGCTGGCTTGGCCGCTGATGGAGTTGGCCAAAACGCTGGAGGTGAAGGAGGGACCAGGAGATGTCCAGGTTTGATGTTTTCACTGTAAACGTTTTACTTTGCAGCTGGAAGGTTCGAGTGTGATCATATCTTTTTACACCCTTTTTTTATAAAGCTATTAGAAGTTCCTGACGCTCTATACCAGACGATTTCTACAGCGAGTAAAAATAACGGTTAGTGAATATTAATTGTTTGAAATCTGTCCGTTTCAAACTTTGCCACGTCGTGTTGTTTCAGTTTTTATGTCCTGTGTGCGTTGTCTCTGTGTGAACGTCTGGACACCCTTCTCCCTTCAACACCACAGCAGCAGCTCTGATAAAYGCCTTAAAAGACGAGGCGGGCGAACCGGGATGCTTTTCAGAAGCGACATCTTTGCACTATCCCTCCGAGTCGCAGAGGATCGTCTTGTGTCCACACAAGCAAGGAGGAGCTTCAGAGGTGTTTGACAGCGCTGACGTGAAACCGTACGAGATTTCAGCACGAATGGAGTCTCCCCCTCTGATTCCTGCGAATCCAACTCCCGAATCTAAGGTGTGCTTAAACGATGCGTCCACATGGATACCGAAGGACGTGTGGACGTTACCTGAGCCGTCTGAGAAGAACAACTGTTTTGGAGACATGTCGGGAAGCAATCCTCTCATTGGTGAGRATAGATTAATGAATAAACTTTGTTTAACTGGCTTAATATTTTTCTGCAAGTGGGGTTGATCCCCAAAATGTCAAACTACCTTCAGAAGAATAAGCTAAAATCCACATTTGCTTCAGGTCTTGTTCGCGTTGATGAGTTGAGAGGTGAAAATGGCAGCTCGTATGGTTTCCTGTGCCACTGCTGCCGCATCAGATCCAACAAAAGGGACATCTATGATCACCTCACCAGCTATTCCCACCTGTCCAACTACTTGGTAAGATTATTTTGGGAACAGTTAGTATTTAGAGCAGTTACTACAATGTGACGTCGCTTCAACATAGATGGAAATTCAACCCGATCTGGTGGACATAATGAATGAAGATACCGAAGCCAACTTCCAGCTCCTCGGATCACTGGCTGACCAAGTGGAGCAACAGGAGGGCAGAGGAGAGCCGAAGGTATCCCGTTTTCTTTTCAGCACTGATTGTTCCATCCATGTTACAGTGAGGCTTAAAGATCCTTAAGAAATTAATACATATTGAATATTTAACAAGGGATTTAATATTATTTAAAAATAATTATATATATATTTAAATTCTCTGTAATGTAAAAAGAGGCAAAGGTTTAAGGATTTAGTCTGGGGTTTTAATGAACTAAATCATGTTTGTTAGTGGCTTCTTGTTTTAAAGAACAAAAATCCGTCAAAGTCTGATTTTAACAATTCATCTGTTTGTTAATAGAGGTTATGAGTTTATCATGGCTTGAATAAAGCAAGTTGAGGGCCTCAAACAGTTCTTGTTTCTCATCAGTTTTAAAACCATAACTAAGTTTCGATTCCACCGATCTGCTGATAAACTGAGCAGTGAGATGAAAATCCAGTGTTGACTGATTGAGATCACTCAGGAGAGCTGAAAGTTTAAAGAACATTAAAAGTATAAATGACGGCTTTATCCACCTCTGAATCTTATATTGGATAATTTTGCACAAATATAYGTTTTAATTGTTTATTTAGTTTTAAAACCTTTAAGACTTGTATGCAAACTGAATGTTTTGGGAATATTTGTTAAAGTGTTAGTCTTGTGTTGTAAAATGGTTGTGATTGCACTTGTCAAAAATATCTCATGTTCCCAGATAGTAAATGTCCCAGAATCCTTCTGTAGGCAGATCACTGGCAAAAGTTACCACTGGTGTAAGTAAAGCTGATTTTTAAAAATTTTTTTAATATCTTTTTACTCGGCCATAAACCCTCCACTTCTTTTGCTCCCAATTATGCTTTCGAGATGTGACCTGTGAGTATAATTCTGTTTCTGCACGTTACAGAAACTCTTACTGTCGATGTTACTGTTGTTCTCTGTTGTCATTATTACTGTAGAATTKAGAAATTGTTCATTTCATACATTTTTGTGCAATTTTTTATTGTATTTGTTGTCTTTCTGTTTCTCTTTTATACAACCACTTTGCTGTGTAAGTAATCTGATTTATTAATAGTTAAAGTACTGTAGTGTGCAATTTTTTTTTCTGTATATCCCTTGTATTGTTCCCGTTATTTTCAAGGTTTAAGAATGCTGTCAAATGGCTGGGTAAATACTAACATCCAGACCAAACGAGAACCTGTCCAAGGTGTGTCTTTTTACAGTTTATATTCTTTTTGTACAAYTCCAAGTCCAATGAAGATGGGACGTTGTGCAAAACATAAATAAAAACCGAGTTCAATGATTTGCAAACTTGTATTCAATTGAATGTTTCATGTTCAAATGGATAAACTTGATTGTTTTTTTTTGCAAATATTTACTCATTTTGAATTTGATGCCTGCAACACGTTCCAAAAAAGATGGGACAAAAGGTTAATTTGAAAGTGGTGAGTGTCATGATTGGGTATAAAGGGAGCATCCACGAAAGGCTCAGTCATTCACAAGCAAGGGCGGGTTTAGATGAGTAATAGTCAAACATGTTAAGAATGTTTCTTAATGTACAATTGCAAGAAATTTATGGATTTTATCTATTACATCCCGTAATTTAATCAAAAGACTCAGAATCTGGACAAATAAGCAGCAAGGCTGAAAACCAAGATTAAATGTTCTGTTTGTACATTTCTTGTCTTTGTAGTATTTTCAGTTGAATAGAAGTTGAAAAGTATTTGCAAAATTTCTGTTTTATTCTGTTTTCATTTATACTAACGTCTCAGCTTCATTGGTATTTGGGTTATAATGCATTTAATTTATATTGTTTGACTCTATCTTCTGTGTACCCTTTAAAGGTGTGACCAAGCATCCAGCGTTCACAAAGATCCCTGTGGTGATGTCAAAACCAGCAAAAAGAGAGAAACCAAAGAGGAAGAAGAAGAAGAAGAAGAAGAAGACTGACCCCATGTTCAATGTAAGCTTTCCTCTCCGCGAAGGTGCCATGCTTCTGGAGAGGACATGCTTCAGAAAGGACAGTGTGTTCGAGATGGCGTCACCGTCTTTATCTGACCCCGATCCGGTCTCATCGCCGCTGGACACGGAGCTAAAGTGTGACGAAGCTTCTTTTGAAAATAACGACGCTGAAGGATCCTCGGACTTGCAGACCTGTCAACTAGAGCAAGATCTCCGTAAAGAGGATGTAGATTCTGTTAAATATGTCCCAGAAACGAACATCATAGTCACCGTGTTTCAAGACGCAGAGGGAAGTGACGGCGTGAACTTTAACCAGTCGGGAAAAGAAACTGAGGCAGGGGACCTCATGGTGTACGGAAGACAAGATGGATCTCAAAGACCTTTTCAAAACTGGCAAAGTGAAAATGTCTACGCAGAGAGAGGGGGGACATTTCCTGCTGCGTCCCACAACGAGGACTGGCGTCCTTATAAACCTTACTACAGACAGGAGGAGGGCAGCCCTAACGGGTGGTACAGCTCAGCTTCAGTCCAAACAGGAGTTGAAGACATGAGACAAATGAACGGAAACTACACGACTTCCTGTTCTGCTCAACATTATCCCCATCAGGATCAGCAGATGGCATGGGGCGATGCCGGTTCTGGGACTGGTGGCACGTGGGGCCACCCCGACCTGCCCAGTGAGGTCGATTCTTTCATCGAAGCTGCCAGGACCAACGTGCAAACGATGCACAGAGGCAGCATCGCTTCAGAGCCTGGAGTGAGTTTTTATGAGACCGACCCGAGACAAACTGGCACGGGACTCGGCTTTAACTGGTACTACGCAGACCCACAGAACTATAACACGCAGCCTGCTGCCGTTCAGGTGGGCCATGTAAACCAGATGTTTAACTGCCAGAACACTGGGCCCAGCACACACCCTGCCTGGTACGGGGCTTTCATGCAGCCAAATGGTTTCTCTCAGCCAGGACCAGCTGTGTATTACAGCACCGGTTCATTTCAGAACTGGGGTCTCGACTGATTGAAAGCACTTTATCTCCTTTTATTTTTGCATGAATCTAATTTATGCAAACGAAGCTATAAGTTCAAGTCTCAAAGTGGAGAAAGGGTTCTGCCTAAAATGATGTGGTTTTAGGACCAAAAAATTAAAAAACGCGTGTGATCAATTTAACTGACTCCAGGCTGGATTGAAGCATTTTTATAAAAGTGCCTGGGCAGTGGAGGTTACGTGCAATAAATACATCATTTGTTTATGCGGGAACAAAGCTGTTTTAATAACAGAATTAAAAGTCACTCAAACTTTTGTAAGGCAAAAAAACAAAACTATTTCTGGTTCTACCAAAGACTAAAATTCACTCTGAAGAACTTGACCATCTTTGTTATTGGTTTGATTGTTTTTTGTTTAAATAAATTAGATAAATCTTTCTCAGGGAAAGAGCTGTAGTTTCTAAATCCTGTTAGCGCTAACGCTACTATTCTGTTTGTTTCAATAATCGTCAAGCTTTGCCTCGATAACTGCAAAGAAGAGTTTACTGTGAATTTTATTGCATAAAATACATGTTTTTGAACTGAGTTGAGTTGAGTGTTGGCCAGTGTTGTCATAATGCAGGTTTTGCAGTGTTCATTATTAAGTCCTGCTTTTTTCTGCTTTTTTCTTATTATTTCTTTTTGCAAAAATGCCCAGGTAGTGGCCAAACATGTTAAAAACGTATTTTTTTGTGTTGTCTACATAATGTAGAGGATGTGACACCTTTACAATAAAAACGCAAACACTGTTAAATGCTGGTATAAGCTGCTGTGTTTTTTTAACGGACACACAAAAATAAAAATTATATTTAAATTTCAACATGAGCCTGCTGGGTGGTGGACATGACCACTTCATGGTGGAAATGGGAATGCATGAGGACTGGATGGAAGATGTTGCAAAGTTTCTAAACTTTCTATGGGAATGTACCCCTGGACACCCCCTAGAACTACTTCAGTCCACAGCTGCTTGTCAACATGAACAGGTGTTTTTGTCAGCAGATGTTGGTAGATAGGAGGTAGCCTGGTATTGTTTCAAATTAGAATTGCAATTGGACAACCTTATTTCTGAATAAAAATATAAAAGACAAACTAAAATTAGTAGTGAGGTGATTGATCCCCAAAATATTTACTTTAGAGCCAATACTGCGGCTACAATAAATTTTATTAAAGAAAAAATGGTAGTTCTGGTGAACGCAACATTCAAACGGAAGGCGGAACCATTTGTTCTGAGCTTCTGTCGCGGCGGACACAAACCTGGACGCACCACCAGGAGGGGCGGCGGTAAACTGGTTAGCATGAACAAACAAGGCTCAGAAACGGCGACCTAAGCGTCTGCTTTGCATGGCAGATTGTCGGAGAAACCCTTTAACCGACTGGCGAAGACATATTTGAGGACAACCACGAAGCTGCGTCTCCGCAGTGACTCGACTCTCACCGGGGTGAAATCTCGTCGAGATGTCCGCTTTCTCCGAGGCGGCTCTAGAGAAGAAACTATCCGAGCTGAGCAACTCTCAGCAAAGTGTGCAAACCCTGTCGCTGTGGCTCATCCACCACAGAAAACACTCCAAGACCATTGTCAGTGTGTGGTTCAACGAACTGAGGAAAGGTAAGAGATCCGACTCTTAAGTAAACAAAAACAATTTTCTGCAGCTCAGTAACAGGGAGAGCTTGCCTTGTTAGCTCCGGCTAAAGCTAATTATTCAACCAGCACTTGTTTGGCTTACTAACTTTTTTTGTTCTTGTCTCAAAGATGCAGAAAAAACACAAAGTATGTACCTTTAAAATAAAAATATATTCCAATAAAATGAAGTAGAATCAGCATAGCAAGTGGTTGGTTTAGTATTTGTTTAGAATTTTGTGAAGATGGCAACAAAATATATGTAAATTAAAGGCATTGTAGTTAAAAATTAAYCAAAAGTATCCAATTATTGTTAAAACATTATTGAACTTAAATGCGTGACGATGTTACAAAAACAAGAAAACAAGCACGGGAAGCTTCCCAAGAGGAGTTTATTGGATAACAAAAATAAAAATAAAAATCCCAGATGTTTGAATTACAGAAGTGTTACAAATAATTTGTGTAACAAGTCACTGCAGGGGTTGACTTTGTTAAAGGTTTTAATATTAACTTTTTACATCAGGTTTAAAAAAACTTATTTAGTTCGTTCTTTTACCTGAAAACTGCTCATATATTTACCAAACAAAGGCTTTCTATTAAAGAGGAAACAGAATATTTTTGCAACACACTTGACACATCTTTRGAATATAGGTAATTAGACTGTTACATGCTTAACATACTGAGTTCCTCCCACCTTCAATTTGTTCATTCTACAGCAAGTGACAAGAAAATCTTTTTCTTTGTACATTATGTGCTGTTGAATAATCCAACATTTCTTTGAGTCTAAAACAAGCAGCTCCTAATTTAATCTGTTGGGTTTATTTGCATCGTTCCTACATAATAAAGCTGCGTTATGAATTATTTTTAAAGGGATAAAATTATATGTTTATATGACTGAAGCTAATAATGGCAACAGGATATCTCCTTGGGGAGCTCGTCAACAGCCTAATGACACCTCAGGTGGATGTTGTATTTTGGGAGATTGTGTCAGGAGTGAAAAAAGGGTTGGGTTTAGATAGCGGTGGGGATAGAGGTGGTAGCTCTGTTCACCTCCTCCAACAATAGAAAACACATCATTAGTTTGTTTGGAAACAGCTGTGTGGCTCCTGCTCTTCTATATAAAAATGTCTAAATAGGAAGTAATTTTTTTTTTTTACTTTTTATGCTGGCTTGATTGTAACTTCTGACTGTCATGAAGCAGAAATGATGAAACTGAAAAGAAAACCACAAGAGAAACTATTTGTGATTTATATGTATGTTTTAAACCCTACGCAGGCATCTTTTAAACCTTTTCTTTACTGCTTTTACTGATTAAATATTTTAGTTGAGAAATYCTCTCCGTGCATTTCTGAATTCACGCAGCTCAGGTATCCCGGAAGCTCACCTTCCTGTATTTGGCCAATGACGTCATCCAGAACAGCAAAAGAAAAGGCCCCGAGTTCACGCAGGACTTTGCGCCGCTAATCGTGGATGCGTTCAAACACGTTTACAGGTCAGGCTTTTCTTTTTCTTTTAATAAACCAAAGTAAACAAACTGTCTGGAACTACTTTATGATAATGGCTAAAATTCTAGTGAAGTATAAATAACTTTTTATTTCTGTGTGTACTACTCCTGACATCAGTTTGTTCTCGTGTCTTATTCAGAGAGGGGGAGGAAAGCTGCAAGAAACAGTTGGGTCGGGTTTTATCCATCTGGCAGGAGAGAGCTGTTTACGAGCAGTCCCTGCTGGAGCAGCTCTCACAGGTCCTGGGTAAGTTTTCTGCAACACTGTTAGAAAACTGTAATCGATGCTTTATTAACTCCAGCTTCTTCTAAATGATTACAAGGCTCCTAAAGTTGCACAGCCAGGTTATTCTTTTATATAGAAAGTAAAATAATATGCTGTAAATGCACACGTTGAGCAGGTTTATTAGAGGATTGTGTTGAGGTAGCACCATCTAAAAAGCTCAACTTTGTTGCCAATCCACCCCAGATGGAGATAAAAAAGCTAAGAAAAGGTCTTATGAGAAGATCCACTCTGATGATGGGGGCTTCGCCTCCCAGAGATCCCCCGCTGAGCCTCCACAGGTGATTTATTTATATTTTTGTCCAAAGAATCATCAGTAGATAATGAAAATAAAGCTGAACTAAAATCATTTAAACATTTTATTGTTTTCTTCGTATTCTCACAGCTGATTCTGTTGCGTAAAATCTACCTGGTTACGTTTCGTCGTCGCTGTGGCGCATGACTCGTACTAACAGCCTCTGTTCGCTCTCCGCAGACATCAGAGTTGATCCGAGCCCTGCAGGAGCTGGAGAACGCCGCCTCCAGCGACTCCGTGCTCCGTCAGCGCATCTCGTCTCTTCCCGCGGAGGTGCAGGACACGTCGCTCCTTCACAGAATCACAGGTAGACACGCTGACCTCGCTTGACCCCGTCAGTTCTCAGGTTGTCCGGACTGTGGCAGATTGTTTGACAGGCTTTATCAGCTTTATTTCATTCCTGACTGAATCTACATATATATTTCTAATGATCTGGCCCGGGAAACTGAACTCGTAAAGAGAGAATACTTCATAAAATCACCTGTCAAGTCTTTCAGCAAACAGAGAAACGACCTCAGAGTTTATGAAAGTCACTAAATGATGAGAAGATGGAGAATATTAACGCTTTCTGTCAGCGGTGTGTGTATTTTATTAAAAAAAGGCAAAAAAAAAAAAGAAAACGTGAGAAGTAAGGCCACACAGATGAAAGAAATTGAGGAGRAAGTTTTGAGGTTAAAGTGTAAATATTGACAAAAACTTATTTCTTTGCTTAATCTGGAGGAAGTGAGCTCTGCTGTGCTCCTAAACTCAACTGTAATTGTTTAATTTGTTGTTTTTATTATATCTGAGGGTTTTGGTCACTTTTACTGCATGAACTACAAGGTAACATGTAGTTATTTTATCTGGACCAGTCCAAGGTTACTGCAGCTGCACTCAAAGCACTGGTTTCAATCCTTCAAAATAAAAGCCTGATGGGAGTATCATGCACTTATCAAATAAACAGTACTGTTAACACAAATAACACTTTATTAAGCTGAAAGCCTCCAGTATGAAGGAAGTAAAACTATTTCTGTATGGACAACTTTAAAGAAAGCAAACTGAGTCCTGATGTAGGAGGCCCGACCCTCCGTTGAGCTTTGCGTCTCCATTTCTCCTCTGTGTTCTCTGCTTCAGATAAAGAATCAGGCGAGCGGCTCTCCCGGTTGGTAGAGGAGGCCTGCATGCTTTTAGCGGACTACAGCGGTCGCCTGGCGGCCGAGATCGACGACCGGAGGCAGCTCACGCGCACCCTAACGGTCTTCCTGCAGAGCCAGAAGGATGGCCTGGCCCAGAACGAGCAGAAACTTGAAGTGCGTATCGAACACTGTTCACGTCCTTTTTGTGTTCGTCTCATTCACCTCACACTCATTTGTCCACAGTCCTTAGCTTGCTCCATGAAGTGCGTGGAAAACTTAAATTCTGAATTAATTTCACATCTGAGAAAAGATCACTTCATTAGTTTTTCACTTAGCTCAGTTCAGTGTGTCTGCACTGCTCATACGGTAAGTAAAGTCTCAGTTTAAGCTTAAAAAAAGAGATTTTGTTTGGTCATAACTCTGCRAACTTTATCCACAGGAACCCAAGAACATAAAGTCTTTCAGATGTCTCTTCAAGGTGTTTGTGAATAAAAAAGTGACAATAAAACCTAAAACTGATTTTTGTCGGTGCTTTTTATTTTGCTCACAGCTCCTGGTGAACTTGTACAGATTTCCACACTCAAGAGTTTTAACAGGATTTAAAATCAAATTAACTCGGATCAGCACAAGATCTGACAGATTATCATTACAGGTCAGACTAAATGTGAGAAAATTAAGTATGAATAATAAATAATTAGGATTAGCAAAGAGTATTTAATGATTCGCTGCTGAAATGTGTGATGATGCTAAACTTTAGGTGAGATCTTCAGCCTAAGGCAGGAAACACGACAGGAAATAAACACCTCACCTCAGGGTAACCGCTTTAGAGTAAAACTGCAAATAATTTAACTCATATAAATGATCTGCCTTTGCTGACTGAATAATTTGTGCTCAGACCTCTTTTTGCACATTTCGCCCCCTCATTAGAATTAATAAGATTTGACATAAATGGTAAAAGAAGCTTGTAGTTTGTTAGCAATGAATCAGATGTAAACACAATACTTTTAAAGATCTCAGAACAAGTGTGCACACTGTTTTCAGGGCAAATATGGTTTAAAGGAAGTGGCTAGAAACAAATTGTATGTTGGTAATTATTCATATATTTTAACAACCCAATGTTCCAATATTACACTTTCAGTCATTAAAGCTGTTGGTTTGAGCTCTGATGAATATTTTTTTCGGTTCTCGGATTTTTTCAGGAATACAAGCGCAAATTGGCGATGGTGTCGCAGGTCCGGAAGGAGCTGCGCTCACGTCTGAATAATCTCTCAGAAGGACTCTACAGCTCCTCTAAATGACCGAAGTCGCTCTCGCCACACGGAGAGAGCGTCCTGCTGGGAAAGCGTCCCAACATGTCTCCAGTGATCGTCGTTCCGTCACCGACGGATCATTGATCAACACTTGAACTGAAGTTTCTTCAACGCTTTCTTTGTGAACAAGCTCCTCTTTTAATTTAAGAGTTAAACACTGTAAGGATCCATATTCTTCACACGTGACTCCTCTGTGTTGACCCCTGACAGCTTAACTTTTACAGTTTTAATGTGCTATGGCTGGTGGAATACTTCTCTGTACATGACGACTCAAGATGATGCACCAGTGCACAACCTTTTAGTGTGATCATGATCATTTCCAGTATTGGAAAGCTTCTGTAATATTGTGCATTTTGTTTGGATGCATTTGTTAACGTTAGAGATCACTGCAACAGTCATTCAAGCTGAAACCACTGGTTTTATACAACACAATGAATAAAACAAAACATCATGATTATTAGAAAACTAAATGACCACAAAGTAAACATGGTTATAATTTTCATAAGCTTATTTGTGAAAGGATTGTTTGGTCACATGCAAGTTTGCATGCAAATGAGGTGGAGTTTTCTCCTTTTCATTGTATCTGTGGTTTGTGTTCGTCATCAAGGCAGCAAAACAATTTACTTGTATCTTTTTACCTTTAATGTACTTGCACAATGAGTGAAGGACTGAGTTGTCAATTTTTTTTGCTGTGTTGCTTCATAGTTTTCTCTTTAATGTTGTGCAAAGGCTTCACACACCTCAAAAAGTGCCCCAGCTTCCAAAGCCAGACATAAAAACGTTTTGTTTTTGTAACTAAGCAGAAAATGCTTATTAGAACCAAATAAAAAAATGTACCAATTTCTGCTGTCCTATCTGGTTCGTTAGTTCAAAAAATTTGKTTGTTATTCATGCCATCACCAGCAGAAGGCGTGCATTAAACCCCTACAGTGTGTGGTGCGTTCGATTTCAGTACCGGTGAATCATTTTTACTGCTGTGGCTCTTGTCCGTAACAGCTCCGCTCATGTGAGCTGTGTAGAAGGCGTACTCGAACACACCGGAAGTACTCCAAGTTGCCCCCTAAACAATCCCGCAAACCATTGCGCGCAGATCGTCGCTCTAACTACTACTGCTAGCTATAAGCTCCGCTGATTTAGCTGTTTTGAGAGCTAAGTTCACGTAAAAAATAAAAATGCTTTCGGACAACCTTGAAACGCCGTACGAGGAGGAGGATGAATATATTGAATGCGTGGTAAGAAGGGCAACATTACTTAACGTGGATCTATTGAAGTTGGTGAATGGTTTAATGGTTAGCTAACCTAGCTTAGCCCATTTTTTAGTGGTCGTCATGAAACCATTTTTTCATTCAGTTCGACTATTTTTATTGCATCTTCGACTATTTTTATTGGACTAGTGGACTAGTTAAATGAAGCAGTGTGTACTAAAGTTACGACACTCGGAACACTAGGCGATTAGACACGATTTAGCTAATTTAGGCTGTGCGTAGGTCATTACCTGGCATTTAAACTAATGTGCAAATGGTATATTTAAATGATCAATCGGTACAAAGCAGTGAATGCTCTTTGATTTGTGTTGTAGGCAAAGAGTAGTAAATCAATATATGTCAAGAAATGTATTGTGGTTATTTTGTTAATCTATGCTATACAAATAAAGTGCTATACAAATAAAGTTTTGATTGATTGATTAGTAGATGCTGAAAGTATGGTTAAAAAAACACCACAAATGCCCAAATTGTCAGGGGCTCGGAAGAAGAAAAAAATGTTTTATTTTTAAACATTAGTGTATTGCATTATGAAACTATTAACTCTGACTGATTTTTCTTCTTTTTTAAATTTAAGGTGTGTGAAAAATCCCTAAGAGGTACCTCCCTGTACAAGATACACCTGACCACACCAGCACATCTAAAGGTACGCAGCACAAATTACTAACGTTGCGAACAGTGCAGTCTCTGAAAGTTGCATTGAATGGCAACAAAAGCCAAACCAATACCAGAAGTCAAATCTGTGGTGAGAAAAAAGTCATCATGAACAATTAGAAGAGGGAAAATAACACAATCAAATATTTTTTTTTTTCAGTTCTGTAATCTGTTCATTTTTCGAAGAAGAACTCTTAATTTCTTGTTTAATTTAAGTTGGACCAATTTTGATGGTTGTCACCGGACAAACAGCCACCACTTGTTTTTTATAGGACACAAAGTAGTACTTCAAAACACTTGGGTTTGGATACAGGTCTCCAGCTTGAGCAGTGGTGAGATGTTTTACCGCATTACCTCAAGAATTCAGCATTTGTAGCCCTTTTATGCTATGTAACTGCAAACACAAGTCGCTTTATAGGCCAGCTCTGGCTGTTTATAAATCACCAATTGAGCCTGTCATGTCTTGTGGAGATTTACACTTAAATTAAAACTGTATTTATACTCATCAAGAAGTGAAGAAATGTGTTCTTGCTGACAAAGTTGCATGACGATAACGTCATTTTCTTCTAGTGTTAACTCCAAGGACTTGCTCTGTGTACAATGTCTGAGCAGGACTTTTTTTTTCCACAGGTGTATGTGTCAAGTATTCTGTGACTGATCTGAATGTTGTCRTGGGCGTGTTTGTTTATGCAGTAAAGCAGCTGAACAACTCATTTAGCTTCAACTGCTTTGCTTCCAGCACAACAGGAGGAGGAGAAAATACAGCCATCTTTACAAATGTTCTAATAAAACTTATGAAGATAGTCAAATGGCAAGGAACCCTAGGAAGGAGAGCACAATACATGTAAATGGACTGTATTTATGTAGCGCCTTTCTATCCATCCGGGACACTCAAAACGCTTCACACTACAGACATTCACCCATGCACACACACATTCACACACTGATGATGGCAAACCACAATTGTAGCCACAGCTGCCCTGGGGCGCACTGACAGAAGCGAGGCTGCCATACACAGGTGCCACCGGACCCTCTGACCACCATCAGTAGGCAAGGCGGGTAAGGTGTCTCACCCAAGGACACAACGACTGAGTCGACTGGACGGGGATCGAACCGGCGACCTTCCGGTTCCAGGACGACTCCCCYAACCACGTATATAACTGTGCACAGAAAAGTCCTTCTGTCGGAAACGGTGGCAATCTCTTTGTGACAAATTTGCAAAGACCAAACTGCTGATGAGGTGGAGACCCTGGAGGGAAGAAACCCATTTTTGTGCTGTACACTGCTTTACAGTGGCTGGACATACAACCCCGTGAGGTCACCACCAACACATGCTTCACAAGTCGAGGTAAGCAATGGTGCTCATCAGCAAATCTGTTCACCTGAGAGAATGAGGAACAGAGGCCTCTGTTTCTCATAGAGTATGGAATGTCTAATCAGAGAAGAACATCTCACAACTGTGTCAGCAAGAACAGACTTCTTCACGTCTTGCAGAGTAGGAAGAAGCCTGGACCATACGAACTGTGACGTCTGGACAATTCTCTCATTCTAAATCCTGCCTTCAGCTGGTCAGGGACTATCTGTCAAATCACAACTTTGAGCCACCAAGCCAGCTTACCTTTACACATACTGGTCATCTCAGCTCTTCCATCACCTCACTTTGCAGCTTAGAGGCGTACCAGTGGTGGGTTGACTTCAACCTTCCATACTGCCTCAGACCCAAGAGGGCCAGGGATTTTTTTTTCCATTTCCTCAGCCGTGCTTACAATAAATGAGTGTTCTACAACACAGTCCAACATGAGAAAAGCTTTCTTAATCACTTCTTAGACAATTTCCTCGAAGAATCACAGTAAGTTTTTCTCCTACAAGATGTGTCAACATCTTTAGGTAAGGCTGGCATACTTAACCCATGTTTTCTTCATTTTTGTRGACAAACAAATGCGGTTTGTTTTTCTCCAGTGAAGTCTGAAGTAATTTCTTTCAAGAGGATGCATTCCTCAGCTAATCTTGGGTTTGTCTTGGTTCACATTAGTTATGCCAAGCCACAAGGACAGACTCAGTGCTAGACTTCGTTTTTTTTTTTTTTTTTTTTTTTTTTGCACACTGTCTGCATACCGCATACTTAAATGAAAACACANTTGGGTTTGTCTTGGTTCACATTAGTTATGCCAAGCCACAAGCAACAGATAAGTTGGTGTCTTTGCCTTTTTTTTTTTTTTTTTTTTGATTCTGCACTGTCTGCATACCGCATACTTAAATGAAAACACACCCTGACTTGGTGCTACATCATCTCTGGTCAGTATAAAAGAGTAAATGTATCGATGACCATATTAGGACACATTTTTTTGCAGAGGTACTTCTTGATCTTTGTACAGAAAAGGCTACAAATGCAGATGTTCCACTTAAGATTTCTGTGAGTATGTGAAAGCCTGCTATGGTTTACATAAAGTAGTATCATCAGTGTGCCCAAGACCCTGTAAGTACCCCTGTTAGATTTGGTTCAACTTCAGATTGATCACCTGCATGTGAATTGAAGCAAATACAAATTAAAGACCTTCTTCTGTGCTTTCCACACTAAACTGATGTCTAGGCCAGGTGAGTATAACGGGGCCCAATAATACTTGGTGAGATCAAGTACCTCTATTGCAGCTCACATGATTTATTTACCTGTTTTTTTAAAAAAAATGTATTTGAAAAGAAACATATGTTTCATCTCATTTTTTTTTGTTTGTAGTGGAAATTAACTACATGTGTCCTGTTTGTTCATCACAGTCTTAATTTCTAACGCTCTGCTTTCATTCCTGGCAGAGAGAGAATTGCCTTGTCGCTGAGGGTAAGTAAACTTCATCTTTAAGTAAATCCTTAAATTGAACTACTTGTGAGACAACGGTGAATCCATTGTTCTGGTTCCTGGGTTTCCAGGACATTATTTTAGACCCACACAACCTATTTTTGTCCACAATGAAATGCCGTTTTGTCAAAACAGTCCTTTTGATTTGTTGTTTCTGAAATAATCCACATGGAAACACTAAAAACAACCTAAAACCTTGTAGCTACATTAGGCCTGTGTGTTGCTGTAAGAACAATTTAAACTGAAAATATGACTACTTCTTTAAGTCAGTTGTACTTAAAAAAGTCAAGTTTTGGCAAAAGCTACTCTGAACATTTATCCTCTAGAATTTATTTTCAGGAACTGTGAACTTAACTTTTTGCTTGTCTAAAACTTTGAAAAAGCAAAGTTTGAAAATGGTGGCACACAATGACACAGCGGCCACTGCTGTTCAGGAATGAGTTCAAGGTTAGGTTTGGTTCATATTTTTGTGTCTATGCACTACAATATGGCCAAGAGCTTTCGGTAGACATTGGGAGAAGCCTCCAGCAGTGTGTGGAGGACTGGAGACATCCTGTTGTTGATGTCTGAGCTACTGTATTGTATATACACTACAGGGAACTGCAGCCAACTGTCAGAATCAGATGTACCGATGCGAGGTGCTGGGAGCCACAACCTGGGCATCAAGGCTGTAATGGTTTTTACTAACCTGCACCGAACAACTACGTCATCACTTTTTCCTGCAACTGTCCATCCATTTGCTGTTCAGATGGATTATTGACATCATGTGGCATTATTTGGTGTCCCACCACCTCCTTGTTTCTCAGTCAGAAAAAGGTGGACTGTTCTCTGCTTGTTGGAGGAGAGATGCTGCCTCAGGTGGAGGACTTTCAGTATCTTGGCGTTTTGTTCACAAATTAGGGACGAATGGGGCATGAAATCGTCAGACGGATTGGTACATCTTGCGTAGTATTGCGTACTCTGTGCCTGACCATCACCAGCAGGCAACGTGGGGGAAGGGTCTTACCCAGGGACACATCGACTAAGACGGACAAAGCAGKGTTCCAACCGGCAACCCACTGCCAATGGCCACAGCTGCCCCATTGGAAGGTGAATCTCTTTGTTAATCCCTATGTCTACGCTTCTCCCCTCTCCTATGGTCACAAACTCTGGGTAGTGACTGACAAAACAAAGAAGGAAAAAAAAGACTTTTCTCTGCAGCGTAGCTGGATTCATAGAGATAAGACGAGAAGTTCAGTTATCCTGGAGAGACTCAGAGTAGAGCTCCATGTCAAGAGGAGCCAGTTGAGGTGGTTCATATAACTGGTAAGGATGCTCCCTAGATGCCTCCTTAAGGAGGTTTTTACCAGGCATATCCAACTGGGAGGAGACTGGGTGGAGACCTAGGACATGCTTGGGACACTACATCTCAGTGGTGTYTTGGAGTCCTCCCAGAAGAGATGGCTGTGAAGAGAGTCTGGGCTGACCTGACACTGGAAGATTCAGAAGATAACTGATCGATTTCCTTTTTCAGTTAAAGGCAAACAAATGCAGCATGAAGTAAGAGGCTTCTGTGGTTTTTGTTTTTAACTTAATTCTGTCTTCATAGCAACATCTCTGATTAGCTGTCCTGCTGAACAGATTGGAGTCTTTTTCCATCCAGACCGAGAAGCAGAAACCGTCCACACAACACCAGTGTCCCAGATCCTTCTAAGTTTAGCCATGATACAGTGATGGAAGAGGAGTTGAAATGCTGGGATCTCGGCTACTTCAATCCGTTTTACCTGGTGTTTCAGTGCTGCTCATGGGTAGTGCATGAATAGCTGCAATGGAGATTGTGCGTGTTATCTGCACAGATTGCTGAAACTAGTGGGATCCCTCTTCTGGATGGCCTTAAGAAGATGTGACTGTTTCTGCAGACCCTTGCAAATCTTGATTGATCTCCTGGAATCTGAAGAAGGAAATTGCTTCATCAAATTAAATTAGACAAACACGATTTTGTTTCAATATGTATTTATGAAACTACAAAGTATTTGTAGTTTGTAAATCCATCATAAAAAATCCATTTCACTAATGAGATTTTCCTGGTGATGAACAAAGCCGTGAAGTGGAGGCCAACAAAAAAGAAGACATTGCCATTTTTGCAATGTTTTGACCCACGGCCGTATTGTAGTTGAGCATTACATACTGTTCATAAAGGAAGAACCAAACCACTAAGTCAGACAGCCCAACCGAAAAAGAAACTTTACTGGACTTCCAAAAAATGAATCCATTTCCCCCTTCTCTAATCTTTAAACCGTAACTGTCAATTACGGTTGGACACACTTTTTTTCTTTTAAATTTGATGGAGTGACTTCTTCCAGGTAGTAGATTAAACAACACGAGATTTAACTAAAATACAACCTTTAAAACCATTTTACTACCAATAAAGGGAATGAGACTCTAATGCAGGGCTATTCAACTAAATTGCTCCGGGGGCCACAGTTACTGCCGGTCAACAGCTGAGGGGCCGAACATCCAGCAATTAAAGTTATTATGTAAATAAACCAAGTATTACAAAGATCTGTTACCTTTGAATTAGTTTATTTTGCTGCATTTAATCACGAATACAACATACAGAACCCTGTAAAAGTAGTGATAATTACACATTATCAAAAACAAAAAGAACACATTATGCCTCCTATTAATTGACACAAATAATATTTTGACATCTCTGACTTGCCAAATTTTTAAACCAATTTTATTTTCACTTTCATTATTTTATCTTCAACTGCTTGTAGGTAGTTTTAACTGTCTTCATTGTTTATAGAAATGTTTTTTACCAGCTTCTAGCCAAGATTCTGATGTTTCTGTAGATACCAAACATTTCTATGTTTAACTAAAAGAACTTAAAGTAATTAAAGTAGAAAACCAGGGCTTTGGGCTTAAGAGATGAATAAACCAATATGCTGGCCGAACTTTGGTCACTTGTGAGCCGGATGTTGAATAGCCCTGCTCTAATGACTTCTACTCCCACCCACATTACGGAGTTGGTTACAGATAATTAGCTTACAAAAAAGGTACAGTATTTAACATTGAAAAAGCTGTACATTTCATCTATCTGAATGAAGATTGATTTGAAACAAATGTGATATTTGCGTTCTTTGTAAACTTTATTTTAATTTTTGGGCACATTGAAGACATCACCACAGAAATGGCCGAACAGCTCCTGTGCACGTTTTCTAAACTGTGCTATGAAGAGATATTCTATTTTACATCAGAATTTCTGCTCCTTTAACAAAACAAACATACAGTGGGGAAAATAAGTATTTAGTCAGTCACCAATTGTGCAAGTTCTCCCACTTAAAAAGATGAGAGAGGCCTGTAATTGACATCATAGGTAGACCTCAACTATGAGAAACAAAATGTGAAAAAAAATTTGAGAAAATAATTTTGTCTGACTTTTAAAGAATTTTTTTGCAAATAATGGTGGAAAATAAGTATTTGGTCAATAACAAAAGTTCATCTCAATACTTTGTTGTATATCCTTTGTTGGCAATGACAGAGGTCAAACGTTTTCTGTAAGTCTTCCCAAGGTTGGCACACACTGTTGCTGGTATGTTGGCCCATTCCTCCATGCAGATCTCCTCTAGAGCAGTTATGTTTTGGGGCTGTCGACGGGCAACACGGACTTTCAACTCCCAAAGGTTTTCGATGGGTTTGAGATCGGGAGACTGGCTAGGCCACTCCAGGACTTTGAAATGTTTCTTACGAAGCCACTCCTTTGTTGCCCTGGCAGTGTGCTTGGGATCATTGTCATGCTGAAAAACCCAGCCACGTTTCATCTTCATTGCCCTTGCTGTGCTGATGGAAGGAGGTTTGCACCCAAAATCTCACAATACATGGCCCCATTCATTCTTTCATGTACACGGACCAGTCGTCCTGGTCCCTTTGCAGAGAAACAGCCCCAAAGCATGATGTTGCCACCCCCATGCTTCACAGTTGGTATGGTGTTCTTTGGATGCAACTCCGCATTCACTTTCCTCCAAACACGACGAGTTGTGTTTTTACCAAATAGTTCTACTTTGGTTTCATCTGACCAYATGACATTCTCCCAATACTCTTCCGGAACATCCAAATGCTCTCTAGCAAACTTCAGAGGTGCCTGGATATGGACTGGCTTAAGCAGGGGGACACGTCTGGCACTGCAAGATCTGAGTCCCTGGCGTCGTAGTGTGTTGCTGATGGTAGCCTTTGTAACATTGGTCCCAGCTTTCTGCAGGTCATTCACTAGATCCCCCCTTGTGGTTCTGGGATTTTTCCTCACCGTTCTTGTGATCATTTTGACCCCACGGGCTGAGATCTTGCGTGGAGCCCCAGATCGAGGGAGATTGTTGTGGTCTTTTATGTCTTCCATTTTCTGATTATCGCTCCCACAGTAGATTTCTTCACACCAAGCTGCTTGCCTATTGCAGATTCAGTCTTCCCAGCCTGGTGCAGGTCTACAATTCGGTTTCTGGTGTCCTCCGACAGCTCTTTCGTCTTCACCATAGTGGAGTTTGGAGTGTGACTGTTTGAGGTTGTGGGCAGGTGTTTTTTATACTGTTAACGACTTCAAACAGGTGCCATTAATACAGGTAATGAGTGGGGGAAAGAGGAGCCTCTTAAAAAAGAAGTTACAGGTCTGTGACAGCCAGAAATCTTGCTTGTTTGTAGGTGACCAAATACTTATTTTCCACCATTATTTGCAACAAAATTCTTTAAAAGTCAGACAAAATGATTTTCTCAAAAAAAATTTTCACATTTTGTCTCTCATAGTTGAGGTCTACCTATGATGTCAATTACAGGCCTCTCTCATCTTTTTAAGTGGGAGAACTTGCACAATTGGTGACTGACTAAATACTTATTTTCCCCACTGTATATAGCCAAAATTGACACCCGTTGTTTGTTTCAACGAAGGTACTTTCCTTCAACACCTTCAGTCTATCCCGCCATGATTTTGGGAGACAAAACAAAACAACCTAAAGACAGTTAAAGTGCCTGTGACGTGCATATTCTTCAAATACATAAAGTCAAAGTAAACATCTTTATATTTAAGAAAGTTGGAATAATACATATGATTTAACCCATTTTGTCCCATAACTGGCATATTTTCTTTTGAACTTGGCTCAGCCAAAGTGAAACAGGAAGTGACATCAAAGGGGAACTCTTTAACAAAGAAAACTCTCTGGTCTTTGTTTATTAAAACAATATTATTTGAACTCTGACTCTTCATCTCTCTGGTAGTGACTCAAAATAAACTAAAGAAACATCAGATTCCTCTTTACAGTCTGGGTTGTTGTTAGCCATTTTAGCAAAACTCTGTTCACATGCAGACATTCCCCTTTGACATCACTTCCTGTAACTTTACAGGCAAATATCTGAACAACTGTTCATCTCAGCTACATGATATTTATTTGCAATATTTTATCAATGTCCCCTTTCTAAAAACGCATTCGGATGTATTACAAAAATTTGATGTCACAGGCACTTTAAAGATGTGCAAAACTACTTTGTACCACTACCAACATTTTTCTTTGTACTATTTCAGTCACTAATGCCATTTGTTCTTTTCAGGGAAGGCTATACGACAACACATTGTACCCAAGTTTAAGGACATTGTGGAGTATCTGGAATATTTGAATCTTGATGAACCTATAATTGGTAAATACTTTTGTTTTATGCATTTGACAGTCGACATTGCATTCTATATAATTTAATTTTTTCCCCTCAATTTTGCCTTAGGTTTAAATTTTTTTGAAGAGGTGCCATCGTTTGAGCCACAACTTGGCCCCAAGTACAATTGCAGGTTATGCAATCAGGCTGGAGTCATCGTGGAAATGATCTGCCATGTGATTGGACGAAAACATCGTCAGAAATATGTGGTAAAGCACTGTGAATGTTCTTGTTTTGACTATCAGTTTAGATTTTTACTGAGTCTATAAAGCATTTGTATTTTTGTAGGAGGTTGAACGGCCAGACTTGGTCACCTGGGATCATCTAACTGCAAAAACCCAAGTTGGGAAAAGCATTCGAGCCAAAGCTGAGATCGTTGAGAGACAGGATGGACGAGGAACTCCAAAGGTAAGAGATGCAGATTATTAGACATGTTGAGTATTATGAAATATATGGTATCACAATAATATTTCTTGTAAATTTTCTTGTTTGCGTTTATGTTTCAGCTGCTCTTAAGAAAAAAAGTGGTTGAGGGAAGTTTAAACATCACAAGAGGTATAAACAATTCTGTATTTGAAAATGTCAAAGTACAAAGGAATTAGGGATGATCTAAGATGTTTGTGTCTGTCTTATATTTTGCACAGTAAATGAAATGACTATATATATTTTCCCCACAGTTCCTCCAAACCAGAGACAGAAAAGAAACCAAAACATCCCAGAAAATGCCCACTATGGTGCACCATCACTCTTACCTGATCTTGATTACAAAGAAAAAAAGAAGCTTTCAGGTTTTCAGGAAAATCCCAAGTTTTATCCAGATGAACCTCCCATGAAAAAATGGTTTGGAGGAGGAGACGCAGCCAGTCATAATCGTTTGGAAGAGAAACCAGGAAGGTCAGACTACAGAGAAGGTTTTGATTACCGAAAGGAGTTCAGGAATCCTGATGTTTATGATCCATTTGAAAACGAATATGGTGAAAAACCACAAAGCAGTTGGATGCCTGGGCCACACAACGTTCCGAGGTATGGCTATGGAGAGCAGATGCCTCATGGCCAAGCTCAGGATTCAAATTATTACCCAGCAGGAGCTCCTCCATTGAAAAGACCTTATCCAGAAAGAGATGCTCTAGAGGAGTTCTACTCTGAAGAAGTGCGGCGCGGCCAAGTCCGCTCTCATGGATATCAGCCCTCCTCTCAGATGATGTACCCTGAAGGCGATGAACAGATGCGCTTCATGGACGGGTCACTTCCACACAACAACATGGCAGGAGCAAAAAGGCAAGGATCCAGTGAACCAGAGATCAAGAGGAGGAGCTTATCTTCATCTCTGGATACCGATCGATCGCATGAGCAAAGGCTAATCAAAGAATATCACCACGAAATGAGAGATCAATATCAAGAGAAGGCATTTGACAATGCTGGGCCTAACCGACCCCCTTCAGGTCAGAGACACGTGGAGGTTTTCAGTCCCGCGTCAAATATACCAGAGCCTTTCAGGCGTTTCTTGAAAGGTGGAGAAAAGGACGAGAGAAAGAATAAACGAAGAAGCCGCTTCTCTGACGCCTCGCCAGAGGAAGTGAAAAAGGCAAAGGAGACGTGAGTGAAAACTGAAGGAATGGTCTCCCAGAAAACTGCCTGGCTGATGTTTTCAAGTGTTTTGTGACAGACTGCTAACTTTTTATTTCTCCTTAAGGTTCAGAGATGAATATGCACCTCCTTATGCTCAAACTGGCATGGATTCCAGACCAGGTGGGAGACCACTAAGACCTGAAACCCAGTCAACACAATATTTAGATCACTACACAGGATTACAGGTAAATAATAGTAAAATTATACATCTTAGTTTATATCCTATCATTTTTACATGTGCGTTTTACCTGTTTTTATGATGACTTCCTGAATTTTCTTTCCCTTTTCTCAAGAGTCCACATTTTAGTGAAAGCTACAGCAGGGGAGGCCCTGAGTCTGGTGATGTGTTTGACATGCTGGTAAGATTATAACTAACAGTTTGTGGTATTCATAGCAATCAGTGTTGCACAGCATTATGTGTACTTTTTTTAAATTTTAGAAACATGTTCAAATTGAGAACGCAGAAGAGGCTAATTTCCTGAAGAGCAAACTCTCCAGTATTTTGGAAGAATTCAAAAACAAAAAAATGGAGAAAGCTGCGGTATGTGGTAAACACGTACATAAAAAACCATATAGATTTTTGAATAATTTCTTACAAACACTGTGATGATCTTAACAAAGCATCAAAATGAATGACATGTTGTTGTTGTAGTACGACAGCCAAAGTCAAGCAGGAGGCTCCACAAATTACGGTGACTCAGTTCCACATCCGAGAGACAATTCTGACCACAGACGATCGGAGGATCCCAATTTCAGTCATAGGAGAGGTTGGGAGCAGCATGATTATATGCCTGAGGAGCGTCAGCAGGAGTACAACCATCCTGCTCAAATGGACTCCAGCAGAGGCCGTTATGAAGGTATGATAATTTATATTATTGATTGGGCAWTGAGTCAGCAAAACCACATTGATGGCCTTTATATGATTTATAACAGTTGTACACCATAGTTCACAAAAGTGGACAGATGCTATTTAAATCAAACAGTTTGAGCATATAATAGTTTCTAGTAAAAGTGCCTCAAGTTTCAACCAGAAATCTAGTTCATCTACAACAGTACTTCTGGAACAGTTTTTTCTCCTTTATCTTTTTACTCTCTCTACCCTTATGGAAACCTATTTTCTGAAGATGCAGTTGTAGCATTTTTAGACATCAATACTCCGAATACTTAGATTATCATAAATAAACTGCTCAAACCTGAGTTTGACATCAATTGAACCAGTGAGGTCTGTGTGTGTGTGTGTGTGTGTGTTGTTCAGGGGAATTGTTCATGGTGGTTCAATTGGTAGAGCTGTTGTCTCTCAGCAAGAAGGTTGCTGGATCATGTCCTGGCCCATGTACGCTTGGGTTTTCTCAGAGTACTCCCGTTTTCTCTCACAGATCAAAAGCATGAATGTTATGCTACTTACACACCGACTGCGTTTTGAGYAGCAAAAATGCACCCAACGCCTCAAGTTGGACACTCTACGTTCAGATCGGGACAGAGACTAGACGCACGTCTGAAGAGGGAGGAGCGTCTTGGTTTTTTTCCGGTCTGTCTTTGATGCTGGATGAAATAAAGGTAAAATAAATAAAATGGCTTTGCTTTATTTGCTAAAGAGCAAGCGAACGTTGCGCACACCAGATAATAAACTCACCAGATAATTTAGAGGCGGTTTGTTTGGTTAGTTTCACCACTCCAGGAGCTGTGAGCTGACCGACATTTTTTTTTGTCCCGAGCTCAGCGAGCTGCTGACCACATCGGTGCTGATATCTCCAGCCAGAACACCAACTGCAGACTGTCTATTTCAGCTAAAGAGCTCCTGTCCGTCTGTTTCGGTTTAGTGGGCAACATTCAGRAAACCGTCATGTGGAAAAACGAGTCTCTGATTGGTTGACGCTGCGCGTCGAGCAGCAAAAGTTCAGATTTTTGAACTCCAGCGTCGGCTGCTTTGGACGCACCGCATGCACGGAAAACACTTTTCCGCTACCTTCCGCTTCCTTGCCCGCCATGCTAAACAGACTTGCGCTGCGAGACCCCTAGAGGCACGTCCACCATAGACTTTGCATGTAAATCGGCTGCTCCTGCAGCTCAAAACGCGTTCGGTGTGAACGTAGCGTTAGGCTAATTGGCAACTCTAACTAATCCCTGGTTGTGAGTGGGAAAGAGAACCATTGTTTGTCTCCTTTGACTCTATGTGGTCTGTGCTGGGCCTGCGACCTGTCTAGGGTGTACACCAGTGTTTCCCAAAGTGGGGTCCCGAAACATCAAGGTGGGGTCCTGAAAAGATTTTCTGAATTAATTACATTTTTGCCCTAGTTGTTACAAAGGAGTGAGGTTAGTGTATTTAAAATGGATAAATGTGTATAAAAATATTGTTTCTATGCCCATGTTTTGTTGACCTGATACAAATGTTTATCATCCAAACATAGTTGGGGGCACAGGTCTCTGCTGCTGTTATTTTGTGGGTCAAAAGCTGAAAGCTTTGGGAACCACTGCACTTTGGTTCCCAAAGTTGGGCTTGGGACCCAATTATGGGTCATGAAGCACCTTGGATAATCTCCAGAAATCAATTTAAAGGGTAATAAAATAATTGCTGATGTAATATTTTCCCTATAATTATTACAAAAACACAAAATAAGTAAAAATAAGTATTTATATTTGTGTACAAGCTGTTTAGATTGTCAAAAAGCCTGTGTTTTTAGGGTTATTAACAAAGTTCGTGTACTCAGACCAGTAATATTTGGGGTCACAAGTTTTTGCCATGGATATTTTGTGGGTCAGAAGATCAAAAGTTTGGGAACCACTGGTGTACACCACCCMTCCTCGCGCAGTGACTACTGGACATGAGCATCACTGACCCTTATGACCCTGAAAGGAAGAAGCAGGTTAAAATGATAGATGGATGGAAATTGTTCTGCTCTTCAAACTGCAAGCACTCCCCGTCCTGTTCAAAAACCAGATGACTTTCAGCAAAGACATTTACTCTTGGTTGACAAATATAACAATGGTACCTGTTCCCAAAGATTTCTGTCTGAGCAACAGTTGATCATGTGCATTTCATCCGAAGCTCTTGGCTGCTACTTACTTTCTTCATGTGAACTTAGCCTCACACAACTTCTGCATTTTGTCTCATAATAGTTTTTGTCCCTGCAGTGAGCAAGAATTAAACATGATAATAGATGAAATGCCTAAACAGACAGAAATGATCAGTGAAAGTTCACAGAACTGCTGAAAAACAAATGAAACATGAACAGCCCATTTACGGGACATTTTTGAAATACATAGGGCCGACCTGTTGTAGCCTAAGCTGAACTCATCTTTTCTSTTATCAGGGTGAACTTATATTAGCTACGGACTTGCGTCATCAAATGCATCAAGAGAAACTAATGCAGAAGTAATTGTTTTTAGATTTCGCCTTTTTTTTTTTTTTGCCAAAGATGGATGAATTCTCACGATGGGTTTTAATTATGTTTTTAAAAGCTCTGCTGCCACAGCGGAGATTATGCACCACTTCTGCCAGAGTTTTGAAGTCAGAAATAGAGGAGGGATCAGACGTTGGCAAGACTTTCTGACTGTGGAAATCCTGTGGTTTGTTTTCCTTCTACGGCAGGAGTGTTCTGATCRACATGCTCAGTAGCTCAAGATGTTATTAGGCCAATGATGCCTTCATGTTCTGAAGAAAATCATATTTTGTAGGTTTATTCATTCCACAATGTAGTTTGTGTCATAGTGAAAAGAAGTTACACTGAGACTGATCCTACAGAAGTTTCTAAAAGAACCTTAAAAGACCTCGGTGGGATCAGAGATGAGCTGATATTGGAGTTTCTAGATGAATAGATGGGCTGTGGGTGCTGTAAAATATAGAACATTGTTGGGATCTTTGTGTTATAATCTTATGAAAGGAGCAGCTATAAATGGTAAATGTTCAGCACCTAAAGTACGTATGCAGGGCCCTTTAACCTTGTTTTAGGTCATTCATTCATTCATTCATTCATTCATTCAGTCCTTACGTGTTTATCTAACGTATTTTTCCTGAGATTCTCTTTTAAAATTGATAACAATAGAGAAGCTACTTTGAACTGTGTGTTTATAAATGTACTGTAAAACTTTAAGATTAATTTGGTTGCTAACAATAATCATCAATTTTATTTTATTTATTTATTTTTATTTTTTAGATGAACCATCTTTTTATCCCGAGAGGTTTCAAGAATCCATGCACCCTCAAGACTTCCAGCCTGCAGAGGGAGAGTTCTTCGACCCGCACTCCTCTGCACCTCCTCACCAAATGGAGCAGGACAGCAGGGCGCAAAGAGACGCTCGCTACTCCAATAATCTGGACAAGATCACCTCTGCCCTCCTGGAACTCGTGGCAAGAAAATAATTATTCGCAAAAAAATCTGGATGTTCTGTGATATGAAAGTACAAATTCAAAAGATTTTTTTTTGAAGTATGAAAGAACTAAATCGTTTACATTTGTTGGGTTGTTTTAGCTGACTTGCTTAATTTGTGTAATTGTGTAGATTTATTATTTTTTAATGCTCATGTCTGTGTTCATGCTAGCAATGTTAAATGCATGTCTATTGCAGTTCAAACTTTTTGTAGAAATCATTCTTTGCAAAAATTGTAATTTTGTGTTTGCTGTATTGTGTGTATTTACTTTTTATTGCAGACAATTGTCAATTTGTTTTAATTTAGGATAAACATGCTGAATTTCAGGTGTATACTGTGCAGGACATGCTTAGTGAAATCAATCTAAAAATAATTTGTACTTTGTTTATAGAACTTTGACTAAACAACTTTAAGATGTGGCCATTGTTGAAAGATGACGTTCAAAATGTCAGGTTATGTGAATGTCCATAGTTAGCAAGTTATTCAATAAATTTTGTTTTTGATTCACTAGCTAAAAAGATGAGTATGACCTTATTGTATCAACTTAAACCAAAATTAAAAATTAACTGTTACATTATTAAATGACACAAAATTCTTGTTAGATCATTTCAAAACATTTTTGTTCAGGCACAGTTCAAGAAAATATGTAATTTTTCATCATGATACATGTTTTTTGTCACTTCAGTAGAAAACAAAACTAAATATTAGTTTATTTAGCTTATGTATTTCTTCATCATCAGTGACCTTTTTTAAGTGAAGAGAAAATAGAGACAGAAAAACCGAGAGAAGTAATTAMAAAGATAGAAAGATTGAAATAGCGATTAGAAGTATATTAAATATACRCCAACAAAACAGRACCACACACCCAACATCTGTCCGCTCACCTGAAAAATAAATGGATAAAATACATGGAGGGCGTATGTGAAAGTATACACATACCCATACATATATAAAGATATACATACATACATACATGCCTACACTCATAAACCCATGAATCATGGGTTTTACTGTTATGAATGATAAAAAAGATTATGGATTAGTGAGTATATGTATGTATATATGTATGTGTGTGTATATGTTTTATTGTGTCTTGTAAGCCCATGTGGGCTGGGCACCTGTTAGGGTGCATGACACGTGAAAATTTTTTTTATTAATACTTATTACAGAAATCACTGTTTTGCACATTTTTAAAGGTGGGTAATTATGTAAAATTGACTCTTTGAGCTTTATATCATGTTATAATGTCATTCCCTTTTCAAAAACATACCCAGAGTGTTCCACTGATCAGCAGGTACCATAGAGTAGTTAGTTTTCCTCTTGGAGTAAATGTGACAACAACGGATCATGGCTATATGCAGCGAAAACTTAGCTATAAAAGCTCACACTCGCGTTTGTAGTCGACATTTCAAATCAGAGGATGTTCAAGAGCTTGCGTCAGGAATGGGAAGGCAGAGATTAAAGAAGGTAGCTGTACAATTACCCCCTTCACTGCCAAGACCCGAGAGAGCATAAGACCACCTCCAGAAGACAGCGAGGAGGAAGCTAGCACAACAGCTGGTGTATAGACTAGACATTCAGATCACGATTATGCCACTACTCCAGACTCTGCATTTGTGGATTTWGTGCTGGAGGTAAATGTTATTATCCAGTTAGAAATCTGCCAACTGAGGGAACTGTCTGAGTGCCTGTCGCTGAGGCAGCGATTCAGCATTCATCGTTTTTTTCTGCTTCTGACAAGAACTTTAGATTTGTCACATGGTAGGTGTGTGTGTGTGTGTGTGTGTGTGTGTGTGTGT